AGGCAGCTGGGTCTAACGGTCAGGAGTGGCTTAATACATAGCATAGTAGACATGAGATAAAAAAGTCTCAAACGAGGTGAAGCTAAAAGAGGCTATCGGAATTAATAAATTAGGGAATATGTTGAACGTGAGGAACCGTGGTAGAAACTTTTGCAATAATTACTTATGCTTGATTGATAGATTGAAGGAGAGGTAGGCTATTGAGCTGCCATCCAAAGGAAAGCGACTCAATTTATCAGCTTAGTGATGGTTCTAACTTCACTCACACTCGTTCAACATGTTAGATTGGGCTTATTACCTAAACCTGACGCAGAAGATTACGCATTTCCAGTCATGCTCTACTTTGGGTTGTTAAACCTTAATGACCTCGGACTGAGGTGTCATGATAGATAGTTTCGTAACCTAAATTGCACACTTACAAGCTTACAGCTCATTACCTCAACCAGAAATGCTCATAGACTTACACACTCTCAGTCGAGGCTTTGTCTTGCGTTATTAAGCCTTGATTACCCGAGCCTGACATAAGGCTTTTTTGATCTCTCTGATTTAGCACCGGTATTGCGGATATACGTTAAAGCAGACACACAAACAGAAACTGCTACGGTACAACATGAATCAGCTGTCGTCTTCTGATGAGATCGACCTTCGAATCTCTTTTTCGTGCATTTTCAACGCAACAAAAGTCCTCCCAATAATGTTACTCCTCGGAGCTATGTTTGTCTGAACCACACAATTACGATAATAATCCGTCACGGAATGTGATGATAAAATCGAAATAGGAGTAAAACCTGAATTAGATGGATATTTTAAGTTACTCAACATTTTACATTTTAATACAAAGCAAAAACTTCTTCCAGTTGATAAGGTTAACTTCATTTAAAAATCCGATTTTATGTTGTTAAATCGGACACTTGGTAGCAGCGAAAAATTAAGTATTGTAAAACTCATTTTACCTAAAAACTGAGTTCTCCTTGGTCGTTTAATGTCATTCATGGACTGATATATAATTATTCCCACAAGGCTATGAGTAAGCCTTTATATGCCGTCGAATTTTACTTAGTCATGCCTCTAGGATAGATTACAGTTTGGATGTCGCCTCAAAAGCTCGTGATCACACTTAAGGAAATTAAAGCAGGTTCGTACGCATCTGGGCGACACTTTAGCACTCCACTATCCCGCTACGGTTTCCAGTTGTTTTAGAGGCAGACAAGGATTTCGAATCAATCCAAGTCTTTAACTAGTCACATATTTAATGACAGTTTCTATTAGGCAAATATGTCGATACAGGTAACTACAAATTGGATCGTCTTCGCGAGCCGAAGGTAGGGAGCTGGCAAGCCTGAGGCTAATTTTCTCTAATCACCTTCTTTATCGTTTTATTGCAACACCTCGGTTGCCTCTTTAGCCAAGAAATTAGCCCGAGTGGTACCATATCCTCTTTACTTGCCTGGTCTTCTGGATTTCAAGGATTCAGTATGCATAAAACGATAAAAAGTGAAAGAATTTGTAAAATGGGTGCTTCCAAGCGATGTATGGAAAGTATTTTATGAAAAGTGTCTTCTTCTTGAAAGAGACTTTGAGGCAGATAGGAATAGATTTATAAATGCAGGGGAAGGAGATTTGGGAAATCATACAGGACAACATTTAGTAAAAAGGTCTTAAATTGAAGCAATTTCTTTCGGCGCCGTTAATTTTCATTGAATCTGGTCTTCAAACCTGGAGACAAGAGAATGAATGAAACTGGGTGCAGCCTACACTTGGCATCAACGTAAAAAAATGTGTAATTGCAAAAACAGATGAAAAGAAGTCTTATTAAAAAACTTCCTGATTCTTTCGATGAATTGCAAGAATTTGCGTTACACTCGTGCCCACTTTCTTTGTAGCCCCGATGGATTCCTTTCATTTTGACGGTCAGAAAGATTAAGAGAGCTTAAGAGAGATAGCGACTTACCTATCAGCACTGCCAGAAATGTCATTTTACCTGATCTGTGAAACAAGACACCAGTGCATTTTGGAGTCAAGGGTCCTCAAGAAAGACATAAAGGCCCTTCGATTTGGTGCCGTGATGTCGAGGGTGTATTGCATGAAACCGTTTTTGGGCGTTTTCGAGAAGACCTCAAGAAAGCATTGAAATCTCTCGCAGACCGCCTGCAAGCGTCTATCTGACGGATCGGTGAGGATCTTTTCAATGCCTGCGCTATCCTTCAGGAAGAATCGGCCTCTTATTACACCGTTGGAGAAGGTCAATCTGTTCTGCTTCTCTGTGCTGCTGTTGGTGGGTCGAGACCTCTCCAAGGCAACTGGCTGTTTTTTCATGTGACTTCTAGACTCTGTCGTGGGGTAGTTTCGCTCCTGACTATTCCGGCCTGCCTCGGTTCCATTGTTTGAAGTGCACGAAGACAGATTTCGTTGAGGACTTTTCTTCGGACTGATGGATATACTCATTTTTGAGGCGGTATGTGAGGATTCTGTACAAACTCCTTGGCAGCCTACTGGCTTTATAGCCTCGCAATCCCCAGTTGGGTACAGACTAAGTTCTGATAGCTCTTTAATAAGGCAGATATTTTTGTTGACATGTCGTGAAGACACCCGTCCCTCCACAGACTCCTCATGGAGTTCACGAGTTGCTATTTTGGTTGTACAGCTTTTGGCCGACTGGTCTTCGTCTAGACCGTCTTCGTACTTTTCCGCCGGCCTGCTTCGTGTGGCCTGACGCGGACCGATCTGATTTGCTGATTTTACGGATCTATTTCGACTCATTTCTTCAATCAGAGAACCAGCCCGAATGGCTAACCCTGGCAATGGTGGAATTGTTTTGATAAATCTGTGAACACTCGAGAGGTCCTCAATTTGGTTTCGAGTCGATGTAAGTCTCTATGCCCAAAAGTGGATGCAGCTTTAGTGAATCAGAGCCATATTCACTAAAGATGTATGCTCGTCTTCGCGCTACCGTATGGACCACCACAGCCTCGTTAAGAGGAACAAGAAGACGAGTCACAGAGTGCCTTGTAAAGAAGAAGGAAAGTTACAGGCGAGGATTTGGGTGTGGGAAAAGCACAGACGACGACGGAACGTGGTGTTGGCGCAAGAGAGCAGGGTTCGGTCACAAAGAATGACGACGGCTCAACGCGGGGCAACGGTGGCCCAGTTAACAGTCAAGCTAGCGTTTCCGGTTTAAAATGCTGTGTACTTTTAGTGCCACGTCCTGATTGGCTCAAATGAGAAAATAGATTAGCCTAGTCCCCGTGGGACACAGCGCTGGTGAGTCATGCTCTGCTTGGAGTTGCTTAAGTCTAGAGATGACCGTGAAATGTAGTCAAACTGATTGCGGAGTAAAGTCACGGCACAGCTATTGCGGGAGCGGCGTAGAGGCCGGAGGCCGGAGGGGTCAGACAATTGTCAGGCTCAATTGGAAATGGTTGCGTCACGAACTCGGTAAAATGAATTTGTTCACAAGGTTTTTGTTGCCGAATAAGGCATCGACAGAATGGAGGAGGGTAGGAAGCAGTGAATTGGCCTTTTAGATGCTGTCCTCGGCGATTTGGAGCCGGTTCTGATGGCCTTTTATAAGTTCATTTATGAGAGTTTATCAGCCACACTGTAGAACCGGATGCTTTATCCACATCAAATATCATTTTAACAGTACATAAGACGCCAAATTATCGTTCAGAAACGATATATAAAGCTTTACGAGGAAAGTGTAATTGGCTCGAGTAATGATCCGAAATAGGAAGCTGCAGACAAGACCAAGTGAAATAGCATGCTTTCTTTCTGTATTGATCAGTGCTGAGTTTGAACGTTTTCTTCTCGAATGTTCTTCTCTGATCCTGGGACGACGTCCCTGGCGCTGAAATTGACAAACAATTTAGCAGTAAAGACTCAGCTTTAAGGTATTATGCCACTCCCTTGGTATCATTGTAATAAGGATTCAATAAGAGGCTATTTACAAGTCAGGAAATGTGCTAGCAATTTTAGTAGCAAACGGAAGGTCTTCGTGAAACAAGAAGGTGACGGCAGAAGTTTGCCAATGACTGTCTCAGACAAATTGCCAACTCGGATCTAGAAAGAAAATTTCCTGGAATGCAATAATATACAAACCATTATGTTAGAAATGATGATAGGGATTGGTCACCCTAGTCCACTTTAGGGCTCCACGCCAGGCTCCTGAGCTTAAAAAAGGAGTGAAAAAAAACGTTTGACACTTTTCCTAGTCGCTTACCAGTTCTGGTTGCCTCAGGACCAGAACCAGAGGCATCTCGTTAGGGGGGGGGGCTGTTTTAAAGCTGGACCCAGTTCCTCATTTTACCACCATTTTGTCGACGGTTCTGGGGCTCCTTTTGGCAGCCACGTTCACCCTAACTCATTACAACTTTATTCACACCAAATCTTATCCCATCGTCTATTTAGCACTCTACTTAATTCTAATTCGGCTGGTTCTACTTGATCAAAATGGTGGAGAGTCATGAGTTTATGGCCACTCTAGTGTCTAGTCTGTGAACCAAAAGATGGCTAAGAGCAATGCTTCTGCTGGCGCCTCCTTTAATGGGATTTTTCATTTTGATACTCGACAACCTTGTTCATCTTAATTACCTCATCCACGTATAGCTTAAAGAAGCCATTTTAAGACACTTCGATGATATTGTTAGGGGGACCTTCATTTCGAATGAAAGTGCATCAAGAAGAAATTTGTTGGTCGATCTCACCAGATGAGGATGGATGAATCTCGTTGTACTGCAGCCGTTTTTATTTTATACGATATTCATTTTGACGCAGTCCACAAGACTTCCTCCCTCGTTTCGGGTGAAAACGTGCTGAG